GGCCAGGCCCTGCCTCTCCGCGGGGACACCCTCACCTGGGCCCGGGGCCGAGGGCCTCTGGGAGCGGGCCAGACCTGCGGACACTTCTGTTGGGGAAAACACGGCATCTTGGCGGCCAGCCAGGGCTGGGAGGGGTGCCAGCGCCGTGGGTGAGAAGCCAGGAGGCGCCTGCGTGCCCAGCGGGCAGGGAGGGCGAGGCGCGGTGGCAGCCCCCGGCCTGGTGCTTGCGCCCTCGGGCCTGCGACCTCTGCAGGCGTTACAGCTCCTGGCCCAGCACCACGGGGTCCCGGGCAGGTGGGCAGCCCTGCGCTCTTCCAGGGACGGCGATACGGAAAGTGTCCTTGCACAGTCGGGGGCTGACCTGCCCCGCGGGGGCCCAGGCGCACCCTGCCGCTTGTCAGGATGTGGTCTGCGGTTCACGCCCTCCCGTGCGCGTGGACGGCTAGGTGCCACAGGACGCAGCGTGGCTCAGGGACGTGAGGGGCTCTCCGTGGCGGCCCCGGGCCCAGCAGCTCCCAACTGCTTCTCTGCAGTCTCAGACACCCCTGCAAGGGTAGGGGGAGCCGTGGCTGATTCCTGAGAGGACTGAGTGCGCCTATGTGGTGGCCTCAGTGGCTCGCCGGTGCCAGCGGCTGAGCCCGTGTGAGAGGCGGACGGGGCCGCGCTGTCATCTCTGCGAGGGCCCTTGGGCGGGAGCAGCAGCACCGTCTGCTCCAGGCTCTCAGGAGGCCCTGCTCTCCCCGAGGAGCGCGTTTCTATAAACCCCTCACAGGCTGGAGGGTGTCAGTGACGAAGCCGTTACCGCTGATGGACGGGGAGAAGGTTTTGAGCATGCCTGGACTCAAAACAATTGACCAGATCATCCGAGTAACGCTCAAGACCTAGAGTCGTGGTGAGCAGCTGCAGGGTGGGGCGAGCAGACCCCCGAAAAGTGTAGTCCCGGGCGAGGGGACTCCTGGAGCTGCTCGGGGGTGCTCGGCCCGAGCGCCGCTGCTAAACCAGCGCTGAAGGTCGCCGCTGCCTTTGGCCTCTTCGAGTGAAGCGTCTGCGGGCGGCGCTGGGTGCGAGACCTCACTTTCCCCGCCACCGACTGCTTCTGGGCACTTTCTCCCACTGGCCACGCCCTGGCTTTAGTCACCGAGGATTGAGGGCTCGTGAGTGTCCAGCCTTTTCGGGCGCCCGCGGACCCCTGGTCTCCCTCCCAGGCGTGAAATTGCCACGTGCTCTCTGTCCCTGGCTTGTTTCGTGACACGATTCTCGCTGGCTTCTTCCGTCAGCACGATCCGTCGCTCTTGCGGCTACTTGGGGGTGCGAACGGGCACCTCGTCTGCCCGAGGGGCCTTAGGTTGCTTCCAGAGGTTTCTGCTCGCTGGCACACACAGGTCCTCATGCCCTGAAAGTGAAGCGGCGTGGCACACACGCCTGGCAGCAGGGAACGCCGTCTCTGCACCCGAGGTCACCGCTTGCTTCCTGGCGAGGCCCAGGGTGTTCCGGAGCACGGTCTGTGGAAGAGTCTTTGCGGGTAGCTGATGACATTCCCTCCAGCTTGCGTGTCTCTGCAGCCCCTGGCCCTCGCTGCCCGCCAGCTCCCGCCCGGGAACCCCAGTTGCCGCTTCGAGCCACCACCTGGTGCAGCGGTCATGGGTCTGAAGTTCCCCAGAAGTGCCACGACTCCACTCCCACGTGGAGCAGTTCTCTTGCACACGAGACTCAGGGACTCAAGTCTGGGAGCGCGATGGGGATCGAGGTCCATCCGAGCCCACCGCGGGGTCAGAGAAGTGAGGGAGCCTCGCGTGGGCGGAGCAGAGAAATGCTCCCGAGCGCTGGCATCAGCAGAGGCGGGTCTGTCTGCCGTCACTCGCTGTGGGACCGTGGGCGAGGGATGAGCCGCTGAGCCGCAGAGCCTCAGCTGCTCGGGCTGAAACCGCAGGACCTGCCCCGGGGCTGTCCTGCCATGACCAGTGCGGGCCTCCCGCCTCCCCTGCCTCCAGGGTGCGCTCAGGCGGGCACACAGAGCCTTTGCCTCCTGGAAGCGGCTGGGAGGGAATTTGAGCCTGAGAATAAAGCTGATCTGTGGGGAGATGACGCAGGGGGAGCAGCGAGGGGGCATGCCTCGCGCACCCCCGCCCCTGCCCCGTCTGTCTAGAAGCCGAGGAGGCCGGAGGGGACCGCGCAGGGACGCAGAGGCGGGGCCTCGTCCCTGGGCACCCGGGGGCACAGCGGTGCCCGCTCGGCTTCCATCCCACATCTGCCAATAAAAATTAAGAAATTGATTTTCTTTTGTTTGCCTCTGCGGACTGGGCGCTTTTTATGAGACAGTAAATGGAATCCCTCTCTGAGCACGGCCGGGTTTTTAATTGTGTTTGTTGCGCTTTCACTTATTCCGTTTTATGAGTTCCTGCTCCCAGATTTGTTGATGCGAAGCTCTCGCCCACCGGGGACACGTCCGTGTTTGACTTGTATCAGTAGGAAAAGGTTGAGGGTTTGCGAAAGCCGTTTTCTCCTTCTGAGGGCCGGCTTGTCTGCCTCGTGGTGACACATTAGAAGCCCCGAGCTTCCC